TTGTATTGATCCTTTTATTTTATATTCCCTGATTAGATCTCCAAATTATCTCCCTGTTGTTGGAATCGTTTTGAAAAAAAGAAAAATGATATCTGAACTATGTCCCTTAAATTGTTGAAGTTACATCGGCTAAATCCACAAAAAAATAGTTTCTGTCATAGTTGAATCCCAAATCATGACGCCAAGGGCATGGCAAGCACGAGCAGCGCTAGGGGATCGGTGTTCGCTCAGTTCAGAACCTCGCTAATGCCGCATTAAAGGTATACGTTCCCGGCTTAAGTTTCAGTTATTGGAGGAAGTAGAGAGGGGGATTTGGTCAGAATTCAATTGGGTTTCCTCTCGTTTTCTCCCTCGTTGCTTCTCTAAACCCAAGCCATTCCCAAATTCCTCTCCTTGCTCAAATTTTCTGCTCATCTCGAATGCCACCTGGTCTCCCCTCTGCTTGGATCCCTTCGATCACGTGGGTTTTTTATGCACCTTAATGGCCAAAATTAAGAACACGATCTACTACACTATGGACACCCACGAGAACATCCTCCGTACCAAAGAGACCTCCGAGGCTCAAAATAGAAAACCGATGGAGATTACGTCTCATTTTCTTACAAATGAGATCTACTTATTCAAACTCACAATTTATTGTAATTTGACCATTCCATTTTGAACCCCACCAACCCACTCGAAGAACCCATATCCTTCTATCACAAGTAGATTTGTATCTTGAATGTGCGTTAACTAGAAATTCCTTATTTCCCCCCTTTTTGTACACCTCACAATCTTGCATTCAATACCACATAAAGGGCCTCTTTATCGTTGCATTGCCCATAACAGAGTTGTTGGAAAAGTTTGACATGTAAGTTTGTAACAGCTTCAATTCACTGCAAAATAATTTGAAGAGCACAATTTTTGTTAAGCAAATGATTGGAATCGAAGATTTGGAGAGAGAGTTGATAACAAATGAGTCTTTTTTTTGTTTTGTTTGTTAGAGGAGATAAGCTTTGAATGGGTTTGAGAGAAAAACATTGGAAAAAATAACAGTTAGAATGCAGAAGGAAGATAGGGGTATAAAAGGTATTTTGGAAAAAGTTAACAGTAGCAACCGGTTATGTAAGGTTATGTAAACAGAACTTAACCAAGGGGATCTATTCGGGGTACCTAATAACATTTGGGGGACTTATCTCACGTTCATGAGTTTTTGGGGACCTGTTTGAATTTACCATTGTATTGGGGAACCAATCTCTAAAAAACCCTTATATTATTCCCTTGAGGTGGATGTTATTCCCTGTAGCAAACTCCAAATCATGTAAGGTGGATGATTCATCTTATTATACATCTTCATGTGGTCTCTTTTTTAAGATAGGGGAATTCGGAAGATTGCTCATATGAAACTAAACTATATAACCATAAAAGTGTAATTCCCATAGAAGTCGGGAATGTGGTACACTATAGTGAACTGGGACCCGGGTTCAATCGTTCCAGCTTCGCGTGGAACACGACCTAATTCACCAACTTTAGCGACCCGATTTAGAATTTAAACCAGTTAAAATATTAAAAAAAATAAATCTTTTTAAAAAAAATAAATAACAAAAAATGTGAGAAATTAAGCAAGTAAAATATGCATATCTTAATTGTAACATGTTCCTTAAGGGTTCTTTTGCCATCAATGATATCAACTAGCATTTAAGAACAAAACCTAAAGTGTACCACGTTCCCTGATGTACTATATAAGCCTACGCCCTCGTATGCGATTCCTAACAAATAGCATACCACGTGCCCATACCCATCTTGTGAACCGGAACGAACAGGGTTCAATGCAGCTATGGTACTTCCCACCAACCTTTTAGCTGTATAGCAAGGATATCCTGTTGATGAATTTTCACAAATTTAAGGGGTTGCTGTAAGGTTGTGATAGCTTGTCGTGAGTCTTGATCAATTGTTTTGTGAAGCTTACCAATCTTTTTTTTTCAAGCTTAATAGGTAATGATGATGATTTTGTTTCATTAGAATCAAGCCTTATAAGTTATAATATGGATGTCCTACTTATTGATACTCATCATTTTTTTCTTTAGTTCCTCTTTCTGTAAATCTTCCTCTTAGAAGTTTTAAATTCAATAGAGCAAAATAGTTGATTGGAATGTACATAATAGACTTTCTGCTGTTATGAAGTCAAGTAGATGAAAGACATAGTACTTTTGTCTGATACTCTGGTGGATAGAACAACTTTCCATTGATTCAGCTGTTAGGTTCTGCTCTGTACATGACTATTGGGAAGTTGCTTTAAAGCTGAAGGAGCCTAGGGCTACCGATAAAATCAATACAAACGAGATGGATATATGATAAATCATGTTTTGCTGTAATTGTCATGTGACTTTGAAATATTCAACACCTACCAACGTCATGTACAACCTCTCCAACTTGAGCCACAAGCCGGCGGCAGTATCTTCATTGGCAACCTCTCGCAGGACCTCATTGGCCAAACAAAGTTGTATGGCATTATGCGCCTTCATTTTCAGCTCTTCTTTCTCATCATTGGGCATAAATTCCGACAACTTATCCTTTACGGACAAGACTTTGAACAGTCCTTGTTGTACTAAGAGAGCCCTCATTTTCTCTCTACAAACAGAAGCTGTTTCTTCCATCGAATTTCTCCACTTTGTATTTTACGAAAGACATCTTGAAGCCTATTAGAACAATAATCGTACTTGTGAATAGTTACCGTATGTATGAATAGTAATAGTATTTATGAATAGTACTATATTTGTGAATAGTACCTCCGTGTCTTTAAAGAGTAAATGATAATCTAACTTATTTTCTATTTTCTAATATGGATGATCCAATTTTAGTGACAGACACAGATCATACGATAAACAGATACATGTATTCTAAGATAGGCTCTGATACTAGTTTGTTATAGCGGGAGGCTTCATAGACACAGAAGATGTCTATACAAGAGTGAAAAATAATAACATTGAATAAACATAGTGAAGATAAAAAGAACAACACACAAGAATTTAACGTGGTTCGGTCAGTATGACATACGTCCACGGACGAGAACAACAGAGAACTTTACTAATCACAAAAGAGAAGATTACAAAGAGGAGACCAT